GATGTGAGTCGAGAAAAAAAAGGCAGTGGAAAAACATGTTAAAACAACAAAAAAATATAAGATACACAGAAGCAGTGAAGAGAGTTCAAGGACAAAGGACTGGAGAAATTAATCAAGCTCAGTATCTGGTTGAACAGCAAAATAAGGAAGAAAGAGAAGATAATTTCACACCAACAATAGAGAAACTAAATTTACTCATAGCCTATGTCATCAACTGCACCAACCAAGCCAAGCATAAGACAGAGAAAATCGGAATTGTTGCCTGAGGAGCTGAGAAGTTTTTGAGATGCAAAAAAGTTAGTTGGAAAAATTGCGGGCTGCGCAGTGGGTAGCACTGCTGAAGGTTCAAGGGTCGATTCCCGGCCGGGGGTCTTTCTGCATGCTCTCCCTGAGTATGCATGGGTTCTTTCTGGGTACTCCAACTTTCTCCCACAGTCCAAAAACATGACTGTTATGTTAACTGGCATCTCTAAATTATAATTTTTTTTTATGACATTTTCCAGATGAATATACAAAAATGAACATAAAAGATCAAATCCCCACCCTTCCCTTACCCTCATATCATAGAATAATTGCACAGTCAAGACAACATGATGAAAACACCATACATTGATCCCAAGCATTCCACAAGCATGAAAATTATACAGGGTATTAAGCAGTGAGGAGTCAGTCGGAATCACTTTTTCATTGAAGGAATTTTAGTACAGGGTCCCATATTTTCTCAAACATATCGACCTTATCTTCGTTATAGTGTCTCAGTGTTTCCAGATGCAGAGTGTTTGCTAGTTCTCCCAACCACAAATCAAATGTGGGCACAGAGTCCTTTTTCCAAAATCTCAAAATCAATCTTTTAGCAATCACCGTACCAAACAAGACAGCCATTTTCTCACTTTTAGTGGCTGGTCGCAAAGCACTGGAGATCCCGATGATTGCAATAAGAGGTTCTGGATCCCATCTTTTTCCGAAAGCTGCTGAAAAAAAATTAAAAATTTGAATATATGAAGCTGAAAACATAACCAGAAGGATTGCGTCAAGTTACCAATAGCAACCCGACAGCGATTACAAATTGGAGACACCTTAGGAAAGAAAGTGCTCAGTTTCTCCCTCGAATAATGGAGCCTATGTATAGTTTTGAACTGTATGAGATTGTGTCTGACATTGACTAAACAATATTGAATCCTTTTCTAACCCTCCTCCCACAGATCTTCAGATAACTGTTGCCCTAACTCATCTTCCCATGCCTTTTTAATCCTGGTTGTGTCTACACATATATTGTTAAAATCTTATAAAAGTGAGACACTGCCCTCCGACTGACAGGATCAAATTTATTTATTTCCTCTAGGGTTACATGTTTTGTTAAAGTTCCAAAATCCGATAAATTTTTCCTAACATAGTCCCGAACCTGCAGATAACGGAAACTTGACGAGGGAAGATTATCTAAATTATCTTTTGGTGTGAGTGTGCGGGTTTGTCTCTGTGCTGTCCTGTGATGGACTGATGACCTGCCCAGGGTGGACCCAGCCTCTCACCCACTGACAGCTGGAGAAAGGCACCAGCACCCCTTGTGACCCCACTTGGGATAAGTCTGATGGAAAAATGGATGGAAATAATTGTAACACGACTGAAGATGGACGGAAGAACAGGAGGATCTGGAACACAAAAGTTTAACATACTATTAATAATAAATAGTGATTATATTAGATAAAGGTAAAAGATATGGGTTAATTATATTATAGATACAAAGTTAAGTAGATAAATGTATTGGCAGAAGGAGGATTTAATTTATTAAATTAAGAAGAAACATAAACAATTACGATATTATTAATGATAAATAGTAGTTATGTCAGATAAAGATAGAGGATGTATATCCTTTATATCCTAAATATTATATTTAGGATATAAAATAATGCGGGTAAATATATTAGCTAGAATACTGGCATTTTGTTCCACAATCCTTACTGGTAGGTGGCGTTAATCCACATTTAAAATGTTTGCCAACCGCGAATAAACCACAAGCGACACTTGATCACAACAACTGAATTGGCTGGTAACATTTTATACGGCACTATATGGAAAAGTCCTGGTTGTGTTTGCTTCATATTTTGCCTGTCACCTAAACACACTACTTTCTAAGTTTCAGTTCTTTTAGTCAAACAAATATTAAAAAGAAAAAGCTTTTGATAAACACACTAATCCAAAGACTGTTTAAGTTCCTCCTGACTGTCTCCTGTGAGGTTTGGCAGACCTTGTTCAGATGCCAGCTTGTGATGGATTGTTGCATGCAAAAAAATGAGGTTAATACAGCAATGTTATGTGACTCCTGACCATCCGCTAGCACTGCTGCTGGAGGCAGTGACACGGATCAGACTTCCGGAACATTAATAATGAAAGGCTTTACTGTAAGTGAAGACATCTGGCAGTGAGACAATATATCTTCTCTACATCAAGATTGTACTTTATTTGATCACATCCACAATCAGTAAAATTGTCAGCTAACAGCACCTTGAAAAGGCATTCACATGCTTTGAACTGGTTAACATCTTAACATGCGATTCAGAATTGGCCAAAGGCATAAAAGAACTGAACTTCTGCCCAATAAACAGTCAGATTAGAATTTTCATAATTGTGTAATCAGAATGAGAATGCTTTTAAAATCTACTTGACCACTTGAGACTCAATAGTCTCACATATTGTTAAGATTTAAATTCATGCCAAGTATGTAACAACAATCTTAAATTATTGTTTTTTGTATCAACATAGCAAAAATTTAAAGCTTCATTATTATATTTTCTTTGGTTTGATCTCAATCATAGATACAGTAGAGGGGTGCTGGCCTAGTGGTTAGAGTAGTGCGCTTGTGCTCTGAGAACAGTGCAAGTACCCGGTTTGATCCTGACAGTCTGCACTTTCTAGAATCAAATTTCAAAAAATGACAGGTTAAAATGACTACAGCTGGATTTTCTTTCCTTTCTTCTTCTAGCTCTTCCTAAACTTTACCGGCACACCTTTAATTTACTACAAGATATTTCTGTGCAACCACAGAACTTTTTCAAGAGGTAAACAAAGGTTTACCCCCCAACATAGAATTGTAAGGTGTGTGTATCTACTTTCTTGTGGATGTAGCTTTAGCAACATTAGCTGTTAGCCGTGGTTCATTTTCTTCGTCTTTTATGCAATAGGAGCAAATCTACGTACTCAACTGCCTGCAAGTGAGTCTCTAGTTGTTGGAATTGCCCCTTTTAGTGAAAAAGAGACGGGACTGGTTATAGCAAGGCGGGCTAATGTCACGCTTCCAGTAGGAACGGCAATACCAAAATTGCTCTTTGTGGACTTTTCTGCCAGCAAGAAGAAAAAACCAAGTCACTTTCACTTTCAGACTGAAGCCTAAAGGTTCAGCTGTGATTCACGCATATACGTTCCTGGTAAAGGTCGGGAGCGTTGTACGGAAGCTTTTCGTCCTCTACCTAATATTCTGGCCAAAATACAGCACAAACCGAAAACAGAAAATCCCACTGCATGAAAAAGTAGAAAGCTCAGTTGTTTTCTGCTTGTTCACTACCTCTTCACATCTTTCCAAGAGTGACAGAAATTTATTTCCAAGAGTTTATGACAGATACTCAAAAAGTAGCTAAATGTTTATATTTGTGAACCCTACTCGGTAGGAGATGTCCCTCGGCGCCATGTTTTCCTGGTAGAGTGGTCCACGTAGTTCAAAATTTTCCAAAGTGTGCATGCCATGAATGTGTCTGAACCAGTCAAGCGTATGTCAAACCTAAAACTAAAATGCATTTTAATATAACAAATTAGATTTCTGGGTGAGAAATGCTTTAAGGTTTACCTCAGATTAAACAGCACCAAAAAATGTGTGCATATTTTTAGTAAATAATTTCGTTTTTGACTCGTATTTGTTTAATGAGAAAAGCATGTTCGTACCAATTCAGTAGATTTTAGGGGTAACCAACTCATGTGTCAATGTTTTCCATTCCATAGCTTAGTTTTGTTATTAGAAGTCAGCAAACATTAGTAATGCAGTAACTTGTGCACTTATGCAGGTTACTACAAAGCGTCACCTCAACCTATTGTTTACTTTGTCAAACAATATATATAATATATGTGAGTTTTCATAACATCTGTTGCTTTTAGGTATCTCACAAATTAGCATTAACCAGAGCCTGATTTACTGTTTTTGGCTCTGTTTTATAGTTGCCTTGTTGTTACTATGGCTACAGCTTGCAACGCTCAGGTTGCAGTGGTGGGTGCAGTTCTTTCCAGCGATATTCATTGTTGCTCGTTAAAGAGGTTTTGATTCGTGTGAAAACAAGAAAATGTCAGCATTCTCAGTGCTGACATCCGATAGCCTCTCAGTGGAAAACTGGATCAGGGAGAAAAGGGTTTCATTACCACTATTTCCAGTCCGATCGATTGATATACATATATCTATCTAAGAGTAGAGACTGAAATATTAGCCCGAGGAATGTTAGAGGTGCTGTAAAAGATGCTTTCAAATGTTTGAAATACATTAACTTTATCATAAAGATGAAATATCAATACTTATTTCTGACCATTGAGTGATTACACCACATATAAAACCATCAGCGTTATCACATCTCAGCTACTTTATTTCCTTTGGTTGTGTTAAAAGGTTAGCACTGTTAATTCCTGACTTCCTTTGAAATTCAGTCCTTTAATACTCTGACTCATTTTCTCTCATGCACCATGAAAATCTATGCGGGTTTCCTGAAAATGCAACTCTGGCTTTTTATTTTGCTCTTTACCTAAATTATGAGCGAAGGGCTCCAAGAGAAATCTTTCCCCTCATTCCTGATCACTTCTGTTGGAGATGCAAACCCAGCTCATGTAAATTTAACTATTTTGAACTTCAATTCTGAAGAATGTTGCTTTTTCCAGTTCAACATCAGTTTGAAAAAAAAAAAACTACCAGAACAGTGTTTTGTTGTTTGAAATACATCTCAAAATGCCCATATTTCATCTTCTTTCAGAGCATGCAAGCTGCCCGATGTCCGACAGATGAGCTGTCGCTGACTAACTGTGCTGTCGTGAATGAGAAGGATCTGCAGTCAGGACAGTGAGTTGTCATCAGTTATGTGTTTGTCACTGCTAATGCAGAGCAATGCATCTATTGTCTCATCCATCCAAACACAGCCATCTACGTATTTACATATCCATCATCCTGACGCCTAAAGGAAAGAGATAAGACTTGCAATTTCTGTTCCATTCAGATTAAGATAATAACGATTTATATTGAAAGATTTTTTTGTGAGAAATGTTTTTTGTGAGATTGTTTACTTGTAAATAGAAGAATGATTAGCTAATTTAATTTGATTCTAGCTATGTAAGGATATTGTAGTATTATCTAGTTGTATCAAATGAAAAAAAAAGTAAAAAAAAAAACAAACATCCCAACCCCTTCAAGGGGGAACAGAGGACCTTGCCTATTCAGCCAGGCCAACAATTCCCTTTCAGAGACATAGACAGATATGGGGTATTGCAGACTAACAAAAGTAGACAAACCACCCCCATTCCAAAGGGGTGGACCTGTTTGCATTTTTCTAAACAAAAACAAGGCTTTGTTGGGCTATTGTATAAAACCTCGAACTCAACGCTATTTCTGACATTTTGAATTGAAAAAGCTTCCTGGATGAGAAGCGAAACGTCTTGGTTTTTTAACTTATTTTGGAAAGACTATGACCTGGATGACTGAGAATCTTCACCGGCATAGTTGTGCCAAAGTTATGCTTCACCAGCATTAGGTTTCCCTTTAGAAGCACAGGTTTTGGTTTGATCAACCAAAAGCCGAGCCACTGAAAGAAAAATATATAGAAAGACCAGACATCTCTAACTCTACAGACGTTGCCATGCATTTTTAGAAAACCTGATAATACAGCCAGAACACAGGTGATTGGGAGAGTGGCAGATGCTTCTGCTTACTCTAGTTAGCAGAGTGGAGTAGAGAAGAGATTAGTTAACAGATAGCCCCAAAAAACAAACCAACAGGCATTGGACATGAAATGTACCTTTTGGATGCTCCCTTTCTCCAACATCTGAATCAAATATCTCATTAAGTCCTTACAGAGCTGCATGAAAGGCTGATGAAGAATTAAGTTACTTCATTTAGGTTTGTTTTAGCAGGGATGCATCTAAAAGTTGCATGACAGTAGAGGGCTTGATATGATAGAGTTGCATGATATAGGACTGGGCTTGGTCACCCCTTCCACAACTCATTGGGTCAGGGTTCACTTAAACCCAAAGAGAGTAAAGCCATGAGCACATTTAGGACAGGGCAGAGATTGAGCAATGGCTTGAGAGAGAAGTTAAAAAGATGTATATCTTAAACGTGAAAAAGCAACATTAAAGAGAGGAAGGATGACTTTAATTTGATCTTTTATCACCTGCTCTGCAGCGCTGACTCATCAGCCTAACCTAACCCTTTCAACAAAAACAACTTACTGTATATGAAATTTTTAGCGTTCAGATCATCAAGCCCCTTCCATCTGAAGAATGAGATGAATAGAGAGTAGACTTTCTCTGACTCATTTGTTTATACTCTCTATTGTTGATGACTTCAATGGCCCATTAGTGTATTAAAAAAAGTCATCCAAAAAGCTTAAACAGGGTTTGTTGCCTTTCTTTGCAGACATGTGACGGTGAAAACTACACCAAACCACAAGTATGTGTTTACAGTCAAGACCCATCATACTGTAGCGCCTGCAAACATCGCCTTCAGCCTGCCACAGGTACAGACACGCAAACACACACACCCCCAAACACACACGCACACCCCTATACACCAATCCTTCAGGCTCACATCATAAGTTTTCTTCTTCTGTTGCAGAGGAAATGGGCTGGTCTATCCATTGGTCAAGAGGTGGAAGGTAAACACTTTCTTGCTTTTTGACTCAATCACTATCTGATGTTACAGTAAACAACAATTCACAATGTTGGGATGTTAACTCATACCAGGACTGAATGTTTAGAATGTTAATGCTGCAAGATGCTTTTCTTCAAATAGATAGTAAAGACATAAAAATGTTTAAAAAGTGGATGTTTAAATAACTAAATATAGTTTCTTGGCCCAATCAGTGTCCAACTACAACTTTGACAAGTCCAAGCAGTGTATTGGCGCCATGACAATCGAAATTGACTTCCTGCAAAAGAAGAGCACCGACTCCTCTCCTTATGACTCGGACAAGATGGCCGCTGAGTTTATCCAGCAATTCAACAACCAAGCCTTCTCTGTCACCCAGCAGGTTGATATTCCACAGCTGTTATTTTCTTTTCACGCTACCTAATTTTAATAGTTACGTTTTTTAACATTATTTTTCCTGTCTGCATTATTCAGTTAGTTTTCAGTTTCTGCGACAAACTTTTTGGTTTGATGGTGAAGGATATAGAGGCAATGGACGCCAGCATCCTGAAAGGGGAACCAGCTGTGGGAAAAAAGCCCCAAAAGGTACTTGATCTTGAGTAGAAATTCAAAGATGCAGCACAAGAGAGTAAGAAATAATGTAAATTACAACTGTGCTACTTTGATTTAGACCCTGATAGACAGCTGCGTGAGTCATCCGTAATAAGAGTTTATGATTCAGGGAATTAACTGATTGCTCAGAGACACATTATTAGTTTTAACTGGGTAAACTCCAGAGAGCGAGATGGAAATTAACTAGGAAAGGTAGAAAGATCCAGATATGATTGAGTCAGTTCATAATTATTAGAATATGAGCCTATAGAGATATTCAGTTCTATATCTAAATAATCTATCTTTGTAGAATATGAGGTTTATTTATGAGCATAAATGAGACATTAGGTCTAACCTGCAAAGGTCGCCTAAAATATATTAGATGTCTTTATTATACAGCTAGTAAACAAGCTTTAACTGTAAGTAAGATATAAAATTAAATGCTTTCTTATAATTTACATATTTTACATAATATAAATGGAAACTTATACAGCTTTCAGACTGCCTGAAAAACGAGATAAAACCCGGGTACAATTGGCCTTTAGTGGCAGTAGGAACAGCTCACTGAAGCATGTCTACACTGGTCAAACTACTCGGCAATCGACCCATGTTACAATCTCCCCAGCTCTGATTGGCATGCAGTGAGAACAATAGACCCGCTAAATTACGTGTCATCATTCACAAACTGTGCGAGTCGCTTCTGATCTACAAGCCGTAACAACTCTGTTTACATGCGTTAAACATGGTGCAGCATTGGTAAGAGGGATTGAGACAGACAAAAGATCAAAATAATAAAGAATGCTGAAGCTAATGCTCCCATTGTTACTACTCAATCTATTCCGGAAGCACAATCTGTATCATCAGCTTATTTGCACAACCAGATATATATCCGGGTCTCCCTCGATTTTATTTTGTATAAAAGACCTAAATCAAGTTTTTCCCTCCTTGAAAATAGTAAGCTTACTAAACTGTAATGTATTAAAGGTTAATAATGTATTGTCTGAGAAAATAAATGCCTTAAAATCCTTTCTGTTTTATCACTTTTTTTTGCCCCTCTGTGCCAGAAATACAGTAGGAATCCTACACTATTCCCGGGCTTTTTTTTTTTTCGGATTTAAACATGAATCTAGTCTTTTTTTTGTTTTATGTCTTCATTTCGTGTTAACATTATGGTATATAGTGCGGAACCTAAAGGAGAAACAACTAAAATGTAGGTAAACATGGTTTATTCATATTTTGCCAGGCTACTCTGAGTATGTCCGATGATGATGTCAGACAAGCAGTTTAATGGAGAAAATGAGCAACAAAATTGCTTTAGAAAAGTCATAAAACATTTTTAAAGATGTGTATTATAATATTTAATGGATTAAGGATAGAAATAAGTAATTTTACTACTTCAATTACATTATTTATGGAAACCCGGATGTGTATCTGGTTGCACAAATGAGCTGATGGTACGCATTGTGCTTCAGGGACGGATTGGGTAGTAACACCTGTCCATGTTGCTCTCCATTATTTAACTTCCCTGATTTCCGTCGCACTGATGATATCATCAACGCTCGCCCAGCGTGACGCCGTCTTTAGATATGCAGTGGTGGGGGACACTGGGTACGCAGTTTTCAACGGTCCGACTCAGCTTTTTGGTGAAATGGAAAAATAGGTGATTGAAGGTTAGCGGTCAACCCTTTTTTGAAAAGCGAGAGAAGATGGATGGATGGATGGATGGATGGATGGATGGATGGATGGGTGAACTTAAATAAATTAAACCTTTACAAAATATACAGACCTTAGCCTTTTTATTAGAGATTTTCTGCCTATTTACATTTGATTCATATTTAGTGGACAATTATTTAACTTCCTTGTGGTCAGAATTACCCTTAATGTTTAACAGAATTTTGGTTATAAAGCAGAATTTGATATATGTAATGTAATAACTGCAAAGCGTGTAAAAAAATAAAAAAATATGTCTAATTTTGCAACTGAGTAATGTGACTAACTCTGACTTCTCTGACAGATCGACGTCGGTCTAATGGTGGGAAACAGCCAGGTCATTTTTGAAAAGGCAGAGAATTCTTCTCTCACACTAGTTGGTACGATCTGTTTGAAATCCTTCCCTCTAAATAAATGGCTTGTGTTAACTATCTGATAAAAGAGAAGACAGATGCAGCATTAGTAACATGGGCAACCACTGAGTCTACTTCCTTCTCAAGATGGCAATAGCAACAAACCAAATTTATCTACTGCCCGCAAACTTAAAAATGCTAAAAACCGTAAAATGTAATGATATTTTTTAGATTAAAAATTTAGGTTTTAGATTATTAAATGATAACATTTGGGTTTTTAAACAGGTAAGGCAAAGACCAAGGAGGCCCGGCAAACAATCATTAACCCTGACTGGAACTTTGAGAAAATGGGAATTGGAGGTCTGGACAAGGAGTTCTCTGCCATTTTCCGCAGAGCTTTTGCTTCCAGGGTTTTCCCGCCTGATATTGTGGAGCAGATGGGTAAGACACAGCTGATTTTTGTTCCTTTTCATGTCTGTAATTGCAGTATAAATGACATTTGGGATAAAGTAAAATAAAACTTTTCATGTTTTCTTTGAGAAAGAAGTTGGGAATGAATATGTGATATAATGTAATATGATTATTAAAAACACATTACCTTTTTCTTCCTTTCATTTCTTCCTCTGAAACACCTGAATTTTCCTTTATTTTTCTCCAGTTTTGTTTGGTTTCTTATTGTGCTTCTTTTTTTCTGTCCAGGTTGTAAACACGTGAAGGGGATCTTGCTGTTTGGGCCACCAGGATGTGGAAAAACATTGATGGCCAGGCAGATTGGCAAGATGCTTAACGCCCGTGAGCCGAAGGTGGTCAACGGTCCAGAGATCCTCAACAAGTACGTGGGAGAGTCTGAGGCCAACATCCGCAAACTATTTGCAGATGCAGAGGAGGAGCAGAAGAGGGTGAGAGAACTTTCTATCTTCTCATCCACTATCCAGTCCCTACTGTACACATAAATAAGGCCAGTGTCATTCTTCAGTATTTGTTGGATCTCTAAGTGTCAATTTGTATAGATATGACCCCAACACTGCAGGGGAGTACATTTAAGGAGCAGGGATCAAACAACAACAACAGTACATCAAAAAATCCACAAAACAGCTGGATTACAAATAAAGAAATGTACTGAAAAGATGGCTGATCTGGTGTTGATGTATCCTGCTTGGTTTTGATATTGTAACATGTGGGGTACAACAGACAGCAACACAAAATTGATCGATATGTGTGTGAAATAAAGTCCTGTTCTCAGTCCTGTTGGTCTTCTGTGAGGCATTGCAGCATGGTCCGGAGTTCTTTAGTAGTTGGACCATCTGGTTTACTGTTATTTTAGGGGTACTTCCAGTAGATGGTGCCATTCCAGTTTTTTTAGTCAGCTCATTGTGTTGCTGGGGTTCTGTTTAGGCTCTAAAAAGACGGACACTTTGAGTATATAGCCTTATTAATAATCATAATCAACTGGATTTAGTCTGTTTGGTCTATGCATTTGATGTCACAATATTTAAGCAGAAGTATTTAAACTAAATAGAATAGTTGCAAATCCAGACACAGAAACAAAATAATTTAAATGATTTAAAATAGAACCTCTAAAAATTCAGATTTAGATGTTTACCTGCCTTGGATGACACTATAGTAGGCTCAGCTTCTTTGGTACTGGTAGGTGTTTATCCTGTGAAAAGTTGTGACCTTTGACACACTTGCGACGTACGACACAGCTGATGCGTGGAAGACTCTGAGGGGATTCAACCCAAGAAAGGCCCCGGGCCCCTGGGCGGGTGTATGAGGAGTGTGCAGGTCAACTCGCTGATGTCCTTAAAGAGATTTTTAACATGTCGCTGGACCAATCCGCAGTGCCATCAAGCTTTAAGTCTGCCACCATCATTCCAGTAGTTGTTGCACTGACTCCCATCATGATGAAGTACTTCGAAAGTCTGGTTAAAGAACACATAATCTCCAGTCTCCCCCCAGCATTTGACCCATCCCAGTTTGCCTACCGACGGAGCCGCTCCACTGAAGACACCATCTCCTCTGCTCTTCACCTGAGCCTGGCACACCTGGAGGAGAAGTACACCCAAATGCGGATGCTGTTCCAGGACTTCTTCTCAGCTTTCAGCACCATCATTCCACAGCATCTGATAGAAAAAAACTGGAACAGCTGGTCTTCAATACACCACTTTGTAATTTGTTGCTAGATTCCTCACCAACAGACCTCAGTCAGTTTGGGTCGGAGAGAACACCTCTGATGTCATTACCCTAAGCAAGGGCTCCTTTCAGGGCTGCATCCTGAGCCCCCTGCTGTTCACCCTGATGACACATGACTGCATCCCCAGGTTCACCACCAATCACATCGTGAAGTTTGCAGATGACACCATGGTGGTGGGCCTCATCACAGACGACGACAACCAGCACAGAGAGGAGGTGAGGCAGCTGGTGAGATGTTGCAAAGATAACAGCCTGATCCTGAACGTGGAGAAGACGAAGGAGATCATCATCTATTTCGGGAAGAACCGGCCTAACCACGCTCCACTGCTCATCGACAGCTCAGCTGTAGAGATGGTTAGCAGCACCAAATTCCTGGGGGTGCACGTCACAGACTGAACTGTAAAAACCAGCTTACTTGTCAAAAGGGCACAAAAGTGCTTGTACTTCCTGTGGAGGATGAGGAGAGCCCACCTGCCCCCACCCATCCCCACAACCTTCTACAGAAGCACCATGGAGAGCGTTCTGACCAGCTGTCTCACTATGTGGTGTGGAGGCTGCAGGGCCTCAGACTGGAAGAAGGTGAGAAGAGTGATGAGAACATCAAGAGGATCATCGGGGCTCCACTTCCCTCCATAAAAGACATTTCATCTTAGCACTGCAGGTCCTGAGCCCGTAACATCATCAATGAGCCGTAAACACCTACCCCCACCATGAACTGTTTTCCCTGCTGCCCTCTGCGAAGAGGCTTTGCAGCATTCGATGCAGGTCTAGCAGGGTCTGCAACAGTTTCTTCCCCACTGCCATCAGTGTACTGAATTGTTGGGAAAAAAATCTCTAAATCATGTCACAAATTCTGCATCACACTGATAACACCAAACCAAAACTACTGCATATTTGCCCCATTTATATTAATGCTCTAAATTTCCATATCAGTCCAAGTTTTGCACCATGTTTTTTTTCTCCAACACTGTTCACATTTGATCAAATTTGAGCACTTTACAAAATGGAAATGTTAATTTACTTTCTGAAAAGCTGCACTAAACTAAATTTTGTTTTGTATACGCTATGTACGTATACAAAATTAAAATAAAAGTTGTCTAAGACCTTTTTTTTAGTGGGTTGTACCCAGTGATGGGAGTAACGGCGTTGAAAGTAAGTTAGTAACACTGTTACTTTTTTTAGTAACGAGTGATCTAACTAATTAGTTTGACTGTAACTATGACACAGTTACCATTGTCAATACCCCGTTACTGCACTTTACTCAGGTCGCACAATTAACCTTTTTTTTATGATAGGACTCGTGCATGCCTTGTCATGAGAGAGGGGAGGATGAGATTGGCTGATGAATAGTGAGATCACGTCTGTCAGTTGGGTAGGTGGGTGTTTCTGCTGGCGGGTGTTGACGTACAGCACACACAGAGAGATGGAGAGTAAGGATGACTCCAGCAGCAAAATAGCATTTTCCAGATGGAATCTTACTTCTTTCCTACTCTTCCTCTGTTTTTCTTGTAGTTTTTGTATTTTTCTCCTTTTTCCTTGTATTATCTTTGTCTGTCCCTTTTCCATGTTTATTTTCTCTATTTATGTCCCCTTTCCCTTCTTCTTTTCCTCTCCATGTTTTCTTTTGTCCCTTTTCTTCATAGCTTTTGTATTTTCTCTATTTTGTGTAATACCTTATTTATGAAGTCTGAGCCTCTTCAAAGCCTGCAATGAATCCATCCACTCTGAATGAAGAACCCCCAAAGCCTGAGGTTTACCTGGAAATTCAACATGCAAAAAAACAACAAAAAACAATGTAAAATCAGATGTCAACATTATTGTTGCATTTGCTTCACATTCTAGCCGCTGGCACAGTTAAGAAACTAGTCACTTATGGTAACTTTGACAGCAGCTTTCTACTTCTCGTCTTTGTTCAGCATTAATAGGGTAGCATATTTTCATCTACTTTATGTTATTCTTTGGCTTTTTTTCTCTCTTCTTCTCATCTCTCATTTTAGTGACATTTGTTTTACTGTTTTGCTGTTTCTTCCTGGACCACCATCAGTAAAATGGACTGATCCTGGTATTAAGTATTAACGACACCTCTATGAGGAGTTTTATGGGGCCCTCAGGAGCTGGAGGCCCTACGTAAAACAGTATGTCTTTGTTGAATGGTAGCTTCACTCCTAGGAATGGAAGTGTTGTCTACTTCTTTTAAGAAGGCAGGACACAAACGTGATGCGTAAAAGGAAATCCATGAAGTTAAAAATAGTGGTTTCTCAAAAGTTTCACAAACATTTTTCAGGCTGTAAATGTTAAATGTTGGTAATATGAATAAAACTGAAAATACATTATTTGTGTTTTCAGCTTGGTGCCAACAGCGGCCTCCATATTATCATCTTTGATGAGCTGGATGCTATCTGCAAGCAGAGAGGAACTGGTGCCAGCAGCACAGGCGTGCACGATACTGTGGTCAACCAGCTTTTGTCAAAAATCGATGGCGTGGAGCAGCTTAACAACATCCTGGTTATTGGTAGGGACATGAACAAGGCCTGTGGACATGCATGATCTATAAATACTGGTTTCTGATTAGTTGTTGACCTTTGAACTCAGCTCTGATTAACACTAGAAAAAGACCAAACTGTGGACCTAGAATGAACATTATAAAGAGTTCGGGCTCTATAAAAATGACGAAAGCAATTTTGTTCCAAGGTTTTAAAGTTTTAAAAATTAAACCTTTTCAGGTGTGTTTTGAAAAGCACTGACTTTACAAACTGAAAAAGAAGGTACATTTTGCTGTGTTTCTAAACACCAAAGCCAAGAATAATAATAATGCATTCAATAACCTTTAAAATTTTGCTAAATTTTTATTTTACATATAAAAAATAGAGCTGGAATTGAATTGATTTAAGTTTAAAGAATCTGGGTGGATGGCTGAGGTAGATGCTAAAGGTTCGAATGGAAAGAAAAAGGTATTTTGTCACAACTGACCACATCTCTCTCTCTTTTATTTTATCTTTATTTCTCTCTCTCTCTCTCTCTCTCTCTCTCTCTCTCTCTCTCTCTCTCTCTCTCTCTTTCTTCTCTCTCTCTCTGTGCAGGAATGACCAACAGGCCTGATCTCATTGATGATGCTCTCATGAGGCCTGGCAGGTTTGAGGTGAAGATGGAAATCGGTGAGTTCCTACATACCATTGAATGATGTTAAGGCTTTATGTCTGATCCACCATAATCATAATCTTTTGTAGGCTTTTTGTTAGTCAGCATGCACAGAGCAAACCTACAATAAATGCATGAAACTAGAGGTCTGCTTAAAGGGCACATACAAGCACTTTTGTTTAATACACACATTTGAAATACTCTCCACTTGCATTCTGAAAATTTCTTGCATGTGGATTAGGACCATCAGGACCCAATATCTCCCAATCATGAGTACTTTTATTCTTTCTAGCCGGCTTACCATGCGCCGCCCGTAGCCTTGGAAGGAAACAGTGCTATTTTAAGAGGTGGGATTTCCTGAAGTAGCCAATTACAGGCAGTATTCTTTATCAGATTGGTACCACCCTCAGCGTGACAAAGACCACACAGAAAGAGGTCCACATGTGAGAAGAAGAGAAACTACAGGTGCATAAAAGCCACCAATGTAGCAAAGAAGAGCCATACTCTCCTGAGTGTGAAATATCAGGGGATAGTTGGTAATGAATTTATCACACCTAAAACATTCAAAATGTGAGTGGAGAGTAGTTTGTTTTGAATAAAACTGCTCAAAAAAGTATTTATTTCACATGTGCATTTATGGCCAAATTCTGACCTCATATATGGGCCAGTGACCATCCATATGGCCCATCTGTACAACGAAAAAATGGAGAGGTCTGGCTGCCGACCTACACTGTCAGGACTCTTCGTTGCACACCTGCATAATGGGGTTTCCTGCACTATATGGACTGAATGTTAATTCCGGACATTTTATCTGAATCCTTTAGGAATAGCTCGTAGCTCACTTAAATGTGCTTTTTCCCTTCTTTTCCCCACTTAAAGACCAGAAAAACTGTGTTCTTTCATACAACATTTGAGTGATTTTCTTTTTGTCAACGTGGGGGGTGAGGTTGTTTCAGAACCCAAATGCAGATATGAGTGAGGCAGAGATGAGTTCTTGTAGGTTTAATGGAGAAAACCTAAGGCGAGGATCCAAAAACCTCACTTGGGGAACCAGAGACAAGGAAGCAACAAGTAAGGAACCAGCACTGATGAACTGCAGAGGTGGTGTATATAAGAGGAACAGAGCAAAGGATGGGTTAATGAGCTGAATAAGGAGCAGGTGTGAGTGAAACTAACTAGAAGGAAGCCAAGGGGAAAGGAAACAAGCTCGAGGGGTCAACAGAGAGTAACTAAAGACTGCTTGAATATAATGGAAAATAAACCAAAGATCAACAAAACAGAATAGCTGAAAACTAAAAACTCAGAGTCCCAAAAAGGAAGAATCCATAACAGGTTTACTTGTTAAAATACATACAAACACATATATAAGAAATGTATAAGAGATTATAGATATAACTTATTAACTACATGAAAAGACAAAATTAGTTCTATTATGAAGACCCAGGAAATAAACATGAAAACATAAAATATGTCCAGTACACTAGCTTTTATTTTATTTTGCTTTTAATTTGAAAGGCTTCAATTTCTGGTTCTGACAGTGCATGAGACCTTACAGTGCAGGTCTGCATCCAAGGGTCCTGACAGAGTGCAGCTCTTCAGCTAGACTCCGTTGAGAAAATGGCCTTCAGCAGTCTTGTATCTAGCCTTCTTGTGTAGGTAATTAGCTTTCCCTAAACCAATCAATGTCACTGCCCAGTAGGCAATGGCAGAGCTAGAAGGAGAGACAGTGGACCCATGGCCTCCCCTAGCCAAACACTGCCCACCAAGTGTAGCCCCTACCTGGAGATTTGTTTTTGCATGTGGATGTACTTCACTACTTCTGGAACAAGCACTGCTCTAAACTGCTGCCTTAAAGCGTGACAGCAGTGATACAATCATGTACAATTTCTTACTTTTAAAGTTAATACATTGATAAAAAATTGACAACAACATTAAAGAAATTAGTTATCATCAACAGTATGCTACAAATAAAGAGAACTAATATAGAAGTCTTGCTCTTTTAAAATTTAATTAGTAAGCTTTATAGGGGGATTTTGTCTCTGCAGTCATCAAGCTGTCTATGTCATTAAAGATAAAGGCCAACAGCTCAACCAATTCATTATGTAGGAGTATAAATTAATTTATACAGCACAGATGTGTGTAATTTTAATGGCAAGAAATTCAGATCTACATTTATTTAGAAAAATAAATGTCAGTGTTCATTTTCCTGTTGCTTTATTGTGATAAATGTTAAATAGCTGTCAGTTCTTGGCCACCCCTTAGTGCAAATTGGTCCCTGCCAAGCCAGCCAATGAAAATTTTCTAGCTCATCTACTGCTTGCATCATTTTTGCATCTTCTGCATGTTTAGAGATGACTCAACAAACATCCTACGATGAGACCTGTGCAAAAACCACCAGGGTTAGTGTATAAAAACATGATGGGGAAACCAAAATTGTTACAGTTTTAGAAATATTTCTCTCCCTCTCTGTTCCTTCTATATCTCTATCCTCATCCATCCTCTAGGTCTGCCTGATGAGAAGGGACGTGTCCAGATCCTAAACATCCACACCAGTAAGATGAAAAACTACAACCTACTGGCTACAGATGTTGACATAAAGGAGCTGGCCGCTGAGACGAAGAACTACAGTGGCGCCGAGCTGGAGGGGCTTGTCAGGGCAGCACAGTCCACCGCCATGAACCGACATATCAAGGTCCCTTGACTTTTTTGACTTCTCAGTGTCTCAGTTTAAGAGGGCTTCAGTTTTGCAGGGGAACATATCTTCAGTGGGGCGAAGAAAGTATTTTAGCAGTCACCGATTGCACAAATTGTCTTTCTTATAAATTTCAGAGAGGTCTTTAACTTTCCTCACAAGTACCCTTAAACTATAGGACACAACAGGAAAAAAATCCAGGAGATCATATTTTATATTTTTTAAAGAACATATTTGTTCATTATAGTGGAAAATATGTATTTAGTGATTTACAAAAGTTTAATTTAATACTCCATAGTATAACCTTTGTTGGCAATGACAGAAGTCAAACATTTCCTGTACTGTAAGTCTCCACAAAGTTTGCTCACCATGTAGCTGATAATCCTCCATGCAGATCTCTAGAGCAGTGCTGTTTAAGGCTGACAGGCAACACTGACTTTAAACGCCCTCCACAAATGTTCTGGGTTGTGGTCTGGAGACAGGCTTGGTCACTGCAGTGGTGTGTTTGGAATCATTGTCATGGTAGAGATACCAGCCAAGTTCATTCTTAAATGCCCTCTCTGATTCAAGAAGGTTTCGCCTTAAAATCTCACCATACAGGGTCCTGTTCATGTCCTTAAGTCTAAAGGAAAGTGAAGACATTTGCAAAACAGTGAAAATGTAGGCATATATATCCCGCTGTTTTGACTGATTTAATTTTCTTTTTCAAAATATTCAAAAATTGTGAGATACCTTGCTTTCATGGTAGATACTGAACATCTAACCCTTCTCAAAAGGTACAAGGTAAACGTAGTTTGACAGATGAATAGTTTAAAAGTGGTGGGGGTGTAATATTTATTATTAGCCAACAACAGCAAAGCAATAGAAGTCTGTAGATGTCGCAGTGGCTCAGGCGAGTCCTTTATCTGATCTATGAAATTTTGTTGTATGTATGCTGAACTGTATATATTATGGCAAAAAGCACCTTTACCTTTATGATCATTCAATTGTGAAACGAAATCTGTCGGGCTATTGTCCAGCATTGGGACATCAATTTTCAGTGCTATATGGACAAACATGACACAAAAAACAACTATTATGGGTAAAATGTATATTGCAGTGAATTTGAAAAAACAAACTGAATCAATTAAACCTAACTATTTGCCACATACCTATTTAAATACCGATAAATTATTAGAAAATCTAAAATTTCTTTAACCAAACGTCAACTTTTTCAAATAGTTACTACTTCATCTTTAAGTCTTTGATTTCTTGTTCTTCTCCAGGCCACATCTACGGTTGAGGTGGACATGGAGCGGGCAGAGAAGCTGCAGGTCACCAGAGCTGACTTTTTTGGATCCCTCAACAATGACATCAAGCCTGTATGTAACTTTAATGGATCATGTCATGTAAAATCATTCTGGCCTATAAAGTAGGAAAAAGTGTCAAAGAGCGCTAATCACCATTCAAACTTCATTGACAGGCATTCGGTACAAATCAGGAAGACTATTCCAGCTACGTCATGAACGGCATCATCAAATGGGGCGACCCCGTCAACCATATCCTGGAGGATGGAGAGCTGCTCGTCCAGCAGACAAAGAACAGTGATCGGACTCCTCTGGTGGCTGTACTGCTGGAGGGTAAAATACTTACCTGAGAGACAATAACCGAAGTTAAATAGCAAAAAAATGGCAAACATTCAGATAGCAAACAAAATCACATCTGTCCGCAGGTCCACCTCACAGCGGAAAGACAGCCTTGGCAGCTAAGATTGCTGAGGACTCTCAGTTCCCCTTCATTAAGATCTGCTCTCCTGACAAGATGATTGGAAGCTCAGAGATCTCCAAATGCCAGGCTATCAAAAAGGCAAGTGGAGCAGACAGCTTATCTTTAAATAATCAAGTAAATGTCTTTACTTATCAAGTAAATGTCTTTACTTATCGCCCTGTCGACATTCCTCCTCCTCCACCTATTCCAGGTCTTTGATGATGCATACAAGTCACAGCTTAGCTGTGTTGTGGTGGATGATATCGAACGCCTGTTGGACTATGTGCCTATCGGCCCTCGTTTCTCCAACCTTGTGCTGCAGGCTTTGCTGGTGCTGCTTAAAAAGCCTCCACCCAAGGTGAGATGTCTTCTGAAAACTAACCACAAAAATCAAAACACAGCCAAAGTGTTTTAACATGAAAAACACTGGAGATATTTTGTAATAAGGAATCGCCTCACCTTCTTGTTGGAGCCCCTGGCTGTGGAGTTTTTTTTTCCGTCGGTGGCTCTGTTATTTTGCTTCAAGGTCACGGGCGGAAACACCAATTGTTAAATATGGAAGTTAGGTCCCCCTGAAGGCGGCTGCACCTCGGAACTTCCCTTCTGGTTCTTTTCCTGGGAGCAAGTTATTTACCACTCTTAACTCAAACTGTGTAAAACCATATAAAAGAGGGCTATAAAACAGGAGTAAAAAAGTAACAAAGTTTATTCCAGGTCAGGTCATTAAAGGACAGAGAAATTGCTTGGAGTCGACACAGCTGTGGGCTCAAAAAACGTCAGCGAGCATCCAGCAAAGATTGAGCCACAGACAAGGTCATCTCCTCCTTCTTATACCCCAGGAGTCCATGTGATGCATCAGGTGGATGCTTAGCTGTCCGTATCAGAAACTGACACGCCATCCATGCCCAGACCTTCACGCATCTTCCCAGATAGCTCTCCTTTATCAGTGCGGCTCCAAGATGTGTCCATATTCTTTGTATTTTTAAAGAAACAAAGGCTGTCCTTATTAGATGACCTCCATACACACAGTGCCATCCACCATGTGAAGGAAGGCCTTCTACTCTGTCTAATCTGGCTAACAGAGTAACAATGCACATGATTTGTAAAGAGTAAAGCTAACAAGTTGTTTTATGTTAAAAGTTTTAAAACTGTTTTTTCTTTAATAAACAAGTAAAGGATCAGAGATCAGCCTGTAGATCTAGCTGCTGAAAGATGTACAGATGAGGGTGACCTCTTGCAGCCTTTGGTATACCAATAATGCAACCCTATTATAATCTATAAACAGCTATTAATGCTGTCCAATGCCCAGTTTACACAGCAAAATTTAAACTTCTCAGGTTATCAGAGTAAATAAAAATGGACGAAGAGAAATAGACAAAGATCATTTTTAGGAATATTTTTTACAAAAGAAGAAAACATTACAATAAAAGAAAGTGTTGTTTAAATGTTTATAGACAAATGATCAAAGGCTCTAATTATTAAACTGGTAACTTCTTGTTTTTTCTGCATTTGATTTATGATTTATGCTTTATGATAGACTACATGTCACATTCAACAAGTTGCATCCTCATCTACCCCAGCTGCTAGAATATAACAGCAAGGTAATCCAACATGTCGGATATCACTGCTTTGGTATCTGAGTGTCGCTGACTTCTTCTTTGAGCACACCCTATAGACTTAGACGGATTTATTTTGTTATTTTGTATACACAAGTGAAGGCAAAAAGAAATCTGTTTTGAAAAGCTCTCTAGACAATTTCATTTTGTAAAGTACAACCCTGATAAGGTAAGCAGCAGTTGTCGTTGAGCTGCTACTACTGCCTCCAGCTCCTGAAGCACTCGCTTCTCCTGGCTGTGAGGGTGGTAGCCCCCTGGGTTGAAAAGGCTGACATGGCTGAGGCAGCAGTGGTGCCATCAGCATGTTTAGCAGTGACAGATGATGCTGGAGGAGGTGTGGAAGCCAGAGGGGGCCGGGAGAAGCTGGCTGGAATAGTTTCAGCATTTGGCAGGGAAGCATCTAGAGTTCTCTCCTCATTTTCACGTGCAGAGGGCTGTGCTTCCCCTCTAGATGCCGAAGATTGCCTGGGAACAGTCTCGAAGGAGTTTCCATTTACGCAGAGCTCTATGTTTCTATCGGTGTGGTACAGCATCAGCCCCCGCAGGCCAACAGCACCGCCCAGGACTGCTGGACGCAGCCAAGATCCAGTCAGAATGATGGCGCAGCACTTACATATCTCCTTTTTTGTTCGAGTCGGAGATTATCCATTTTGTTTTCCAACGAAAGGATTGTTGAAGAGCAGGAGTGATGGAAGCGTTGGGCTGTGGGGATCTCTCTTTAGCTTTGCAGTTATCCCCCACTCTGCAGCCATGCTTTCTTATTTTCCATTGTTGTTTTGTTGACATCTGTCCGTAGCACCGCGCAGCTTTTTATATGGTGAAAAAGGTCAGCATTTAAAAAGGTTTTGTGACCGTAGCTCCAGCAGGCGTCACCAATCATAAATGCAGGTTTGATGTCTAGTTTGTATCATTTTAAGCAGCATATTTTGAGAAATTTGTCAAGAGGAGCTACTCTTGGCCGCTGCCTTGGAGCGCCACCATGGTAACCACAAAGATGATGAAGTCATTGATGAAAAAAGTCACTCCATCAGTCATCGATCACTCTTAAAGTGATCAATGACTACCTAACATGTTGACTTAAATATGTTGTAATATTACAATTAAATCACCTGTTCTACACCAGCATCTTCGGCTAACTCTCCCTTTTCCGCAATTCGGTCCTTTTCCTCTCCCTCACCACCTCCTGGTTGACTCTTAACATTTTATGCTTAAGGACGCATGAACAAAAGTGTCATCAGATGTTATGTTTATTGTAGTTTGACAGCAGCCTTTCAGGGCAACGTGTGTGTTTATCTGACCAGAGTTTACCTACAGGAAGTTAACACTGCACAGCAGCGTTTTAAGAGTTTGTTTTTTCTAACATTGGGGACAGAGAAGCTGCAAAAAATTTGAGACATGATGATATAGACCTGTGATGATTGTGTGCAAATGAATAATTGTTTTAAAATTTCTGCCTAACTAACAAATGAAACATTGCTCGATGGTCTATCAGATAAATCCTAATAAAACACAGTAAGGGTTGTGAAAAGCCCAAATGAAAGGCCTGAATACTGCATGCCCTTCAGTTTCCACCCTCATGAGGAGGCCTTGCAGATATGGTGCTTTGCACATGCAGTGGCAGTCTTCCTTATAGTCTCACAGACGTCTTGCTGGGTAAGTTTGGTTAGCGTCAGAAAGTCTTTATTTCAGGATGTGTCACCTTAGGAAAACAAAAGAAACATGATCTGTAAAATTTAAAAGTGATTGTTTTTTTCCAGCAATTATTTTTATAGGTGTCCCAATCATACATTTCTTATGCATAATGTCTGTTTATATATAGTATTGTCAGTTTCTTACCTTTAAATGACCTGCCTTTTCCAGCTCAGGGATTGGTATAGCATGTTTTACATAGCATGTATGTGACAAGTTTCATTTCCTATAAAGTGAGTCATGTGTTCATCCTGTAGGGCCGTAAGCTGCTCATCATCGGCACCACCAGCAGAAAGGATGTTCTGCAAGAGATGGAGATGCTGGATGCCTTCAGCACCACTATCCACATTCCCAACATCTCCACTGGCGAGCAGTTAGTCGATGCCTTAGAGGTATAGTGAGAGGAATCAAAAACTCACATAAGTTTAACATTTTTGGAGTACATTTTTATGCAGATGATAGCATCCTCCAAGTGGATGAATAGAGCACATTTTAAGCTTCATCAGTGACCGATTCAAAAATAGCTATTTTATCACTCTTATTTTTTTGGAAGAGAGGGATTTCAAGCTACTTGAAGACAGTTTTTTTGTTTTCAGAATTGCTATAGGTACTGTAAACTTCAGTGGAAAGCTAACTCTAAAAATCTCCACCTTTCTTTGGCCTTTGCAGCTGCTGGGAAGCTTCACTGATAAAGAGCGAGCCAGCATCGCTCAGCAGCTCAAGGGGAAACGGGTCTGGATCGGCATTAAGAAGCTTCTGGTGCTAATTGAGATGTCCCTTCAGGTATAAAAAACATCAAGTATAAGACATGAATGAAATCTAATTTCTATGGGGTGTGTATAAAATAAAAAAAATACATTTCTTTTAGGGTCTTAAAGGCATCAACAACTATTGGCCAAAATATGTTGTAATTTTCCTATTCACTAGAAAACTGTAGTTAATTACTTAAAAAACTATAGATCCTTAATTAGATTTTCTCCCATTCAGGTCATCTTTTTTTTTTTATCTCTGCAAAGCCTGCACAGATAAATTGATTTTGTGGTTAGGTCGAGGGAGTGGCGGCCTAGTGGTTAGGGCATAGAGCTTGGAATCCTGATTTGGTGCCCCACTCCCACAGACTGCCACTCTGGATCCCTGAGCAAGGCCCCTAACCCCACACTGCTCCCTGGGCGACGCATAGCACCAGCCCACTGCTCAACAAGGGGATGGGTTAAATGCAGAGAGTTCATTTCTTGCTCTGTATTTGTGACGCACAATTAAAAAGGCTGAAAAAAAAGGAAAATTCAGAGTAAACACAGGAACTCTAACTTCGCCAAAGTTGTTTTGCATTGTATTGTATCTGACTGGTGTAAATTTAGATAATGTCACACTGCGTTGCTGCCATAAAAGTTTCATGAGCCGTTACACATTAAATATCTGTTGAAACAAACAAATTTAATCGGCTTGATCAATTTTTTACTATATTATCTTGAGCTAGCAACATTAGCATATTGTGTAAACAATGTTAATTCAATAATGAATGATTGTTTAAAGCAGAGGTGCTGAAGTCCAGTCCTCAAGAGCTTATATCCTGCAAATTTTTGATACACCCCATATTTCCACACCTGAATCAAATGAGTGACTCGCTACCATGCTTCTGTTGAGCTAAATGAGGGGATTGAACCTTTAGATTCAGGTGTGTTAGAGAAGAGATGCATCTAAAAGCTACAGGATTGCAGCTCTTGAGGACTGGACTTCAGCACCCCTGGTTTAAAGTGAGAGCCAGGCTCTCATGCTAACCATAAACAGCCTCATGTAAAAAAACTGGAGCTCTTTGTTGCATAACTTCACATCCTTGTTAACATGTCCAAGCAGCAGCACCCAACATAAACACAAATTTCTTTAGCAAACTCTCCTCTCTTCCTCCCTTTGTTCCTTCTCATCTATATTACCTCCTGTGATTTCTACATTGTCATCAATTCTAATGCAGTCGGGTTCGAATTCAAAAGGTTTACTATTACTCTGTTTTGGCTGGGTAGAGTTAGCACTACAGGACACAGTACATTAAGCAGAATACATTTCAACAACAGACATCAATAGCCCCTGCGTCATCAGGGGAGAGGCGTGCTGACAGAGCGGTCGCTCATCTTAGATCAGATCAAGCTGCTGTCAGAGAGAATGCAAGTCAACTGGGGCCAGGGGGGGGCCTCATGGGGAATTTGGGGACTCATGAAAGACATTGATATTACTGATGAATTTTCTTTTTATATCAGAAAAATAAAGCAGGACAAATCTTGTCTGTTTCTTTCTCTTCAGTCAAGGGCCCTTAGAATCATCCTAACTTTTCCCCCCATACGGTGCCCCCTGATTGGGGCGAATGGTACTTTATGTTTTCAGACACTCTGATTCTGGTGAACTCTTTCCAGAACAATTTCCAGATAAAGTGGCTGCCTGAAAACGAGAAATTTTCACGTTTCTAATTTAATGCCTAATTTTGATTTTGTATTGACGGTTAGCAAACTTCCAGAGCTGCCTCTCCGGATGCCCGAATTTAATTCCACCTATGAGTGCACAAATAAAAAGAGTCTACAAACCAGATCCAGTGGATTTACCTTACATATTTAGGATTTAATATTCCAAAAAAAAGAAAGTTAAAAACAGTCCACTGGACTTTGTTTTCAAGTTTGAGGACATTGAAAAAGCTTCCTGGAGGGATTTCTAGAAGATGTGAATTAGGAGATATGTTTAACCCAAATGTTCAAATTTGGACTAAATAATAACAACAACAAAAAAAAGTAGTTGAAAAATAGTTTTGAAAGAAGGACAAAAATCTTTAGGTTAGACATAACAAAAATTTACTATTCACTACGATCTGACAACATTTTTTGACATTAACAAAAAAATTAAATATATATTTAAATAAAATAAAAATATTAAATAATAACTGTACTTTTTGTAAACAACATTACAACAAAGTTTCCTCTATAGATCATATTCCTCATTATCCCAGTACATATCCCTACAATAAGGATTATTATTATATACTATATAAATATATAATATCTATAAAATATACAATTATGATATAAAGATATTAAAAAAAAATTCTCCATCATATTGATATTTAAGTACAAAACATATCCAGGTGTATTGTATATTTCATCCAATTTCACTCAAGTTTAAATAGTTCTGATTCTCAAGAGATTTGTGTAATATAACTGAAAGGTAATTTTAAAATTTGTTTTAGTTTTTGAAGGAGTTTAAAGAGGACATGTAAGAAATTATTGTGATATTATCTTTGACTTGACTTACATGTGGATAAAATGAGATCTGAGGTGCCTCCTATTAATTCTGACTGCAGCTGTGTCAACGGTCTGACCCAAAATGGCTGCCTCATAGAAACGTCAGCTGGCAGCTTTCTTATTGGGCGTCTACGTATTAATGTCTATGATTGCAGCTTGCAGTATGGCAAAAGCAATAGTGTCTATGAAAACCAAACAGCTTTTTCTTACAGAGTAATGTACTGATATGTTTATAGATATTTATCTTTACTGTATTGTTTACATCGAAAATAAACAATTCTTAAATAAAGTCTGTTACAATAAATACCATTTTTTTTAACTTTTGACATCTTAAACAGGTTTTTAGGTTAATAGTGTGCATTTTTGCGTGTCAAGCCATTGCTTCTTTCCATTAATAAATAATTAATTTGTTTTGAATATTTAATGTTCTGAACTTACATATCTGCGTTTTTTTTTCTTTTGCAACATGTTTTTTTTTTCCCACACTGTTTACAATGGATCACTGCTGCACTTTAAGCAATACTGTAGCAAGGCTAAGAAAACTGTACATAACATAAATTTCTTTTGTTTACATTCTGGGTATACAAATGACGGCAAAAGGTGTCTGAGTCTAAAAATGCTTTTCTAGCTTTCATTTATATAGTATCCATCATTCTAACTGAAGAATTCAGATTTCAGTTTGGATCACTAAACTACAACTCCCACAATACAGAGCAGCAGGCCAAGTCAAAAGAACATTTTGCCACGAATATATATCATTCAAAAATACAAATTAATTTTACCTCCTCTACTGGCTTGCTGTTAATCCATATGATTAAACTGTTACTTTATATGCTGTCATGGAAAAGAATATAAGCATTGGTTTATAGAGTAGTGCTCTCAATATGTATCTCGAATCCATCTCTAGTAACTGTAGATTGCAAAGTATTTAATTCAATGTGTGAGAAAGTTCAGGTATGTATGAAATTCTATCTAACGTGTTTGATTTATCAAGGTATTTTGGGTTTAAGCTTTTTTGTCACACATACATCTTTTAGATTATTGAATGAAATGTGCTTCCAGACAGAGAAACAGAACAAATTCAAAAAGATGTCATATGATGCCAGGTTGGTTTGGATCGTTTTTTCAAAACATAGGGAGAAAAAAAATCTATCCAAATCCATACAGATCTCTGTTTTATCAACGGATTTATGGATTTAAATATTAACATTAAAGTTCTGTCTAATTCTAGATTGAGGAATCACATAAACACTCTTCAATGTTGCTGGAATAGTTGGTGGTGTTACAATATAATCAGTTCAGATTAGGATTTCTACTCCTAAATCCTTTTCTTTCTCCTTTTGCCTCCAGATGGATCCAGATTACAGAGTGATTAAATTCATGACTCTGCTTAGAGATGAGGGAGCGTAAGTATAATCATACAAGACAATAACATCCATCAGTTAAAAAACTCATCCTGCTTCATCATCATCCTCTTCTTTTAATTTGTCTCCTTTTTTATATATATATATTTTTTCGTTACACTAAGCACAGCACTACATGTGAAGGTTTTGGGCTACAAGAGTAAAACACGTATTACAACCAGTGATTTCTGCTGAACAACTAATCATAACAACTTTATTTTGCCATCACCAGGCTGCATGACGGTGACCAAATCCGAATTTAAGCTGTCAGTCGCTCCTTACTGGTAAGACAAACAGTGGTGTGAGGAAACTAGAGCTGGTAGAATCTGTAGTTGGCTAATTAGTTTAGCTTTGAAATGGTACATCTGTTAAAGGAAAGCTCTCTGTTTACACCTTTAAAGCTTTCTCTCTCTGCTTCTTTTTCCTGAAAAGAGATCACTCGGGACAAACTCTGTAAATAACACTTTATAAGTTGTATGCATTATATAACCATGAGACATGACAACGGATCTTGATAGAATTGTAATCTTGCTCATTTCAGATAACTTGCTTTGAGTTACCGAAAATCGGCTTCTTACCAACTGGGCTCCCTTCTCGTAAAGTGGTCATGATAAATAGTTAGAGAAGCATTTTATACATCTCCAGTCTGCCACTTCATCACATGATCACATCATACACATTTGCAGATGAGGAGACATCTATGGCTCCTGCTTATTAAATTATGACACTTTGTTTTTAGATCAACGACACCATTCTCATTCCATTCCCAAATCTTTGCCACATGCAGAATAAAGATGATAACTGTTTATCCTGACAGAGGAACTGTTCTAATTAGATAAGCTACAGGGGGAAACATTAGTTCTGACATGCAACAGGCAGTTAATATTAAATCAACTCACACATCATCAATAATAATTATCCTAACAATCCTTTGATGAATTAGTGAGGAGCAAACTTGGCCAACAATGTGATTGAATTTACAAGAATCCCAGAATTATGAGAACATTATCAGCATGATCAAGGTTGGACATGATGTTATGGCTATAGTTTAGTCGATTAGTTTACTAACATCATCTAACATTATACTGCATTTACTGCTTCTGCTGTTCTTAACCTGTAAATATGAGAGTGAAGAGAGCAGCTTTATTATTTTTGCTCTTGAATTTAGCTTTTGCTTTTAAAGAAGTCATCCCCCGAAAATCAGATTTTTAAGAGATATATGTTGGTCAACAGTTGAGAGAACTCTCTCAACAATAAGCACCGTTCCCCGTCCTCCTTGATTCGTCATTAATATAAAAAGGGGCTAACTTTAGCCTGCCTTGCTATCACCACACCTGTTTCTGTTCAACCACAAGCAGCAATTCCACCAATCAGGGACTCACTGGCAGAGCAGTTTGTTAGTGTTCATTTTCACCTTTTTGTGTTTGGGAGCTAAACCATGGCTAACTGCCATTCATGCTAATGCTACAACTACTGAACGCTCATACATAAAATATATTGTGTGGTCCCTTGCTTAAAAAACAAGAGGCTTGAAAAAAAGCTGCCTCTTTTTTTCTCCTAAAATGATCAAACATTAATGCAAAAACTATTTCAGAATAATTGTAAAAGTAAAATACCAGGTAACAGTAGCAGGCTGCGAACCTCCACTCTTATGGTATCCCAGGGGATCTCCTGTGCTGCACAACTCGTTTTATGCATATAAACGAGTCAGGAACGGAATCAGCCCCTGCAGTAATTAGCCAAGTAGAGGCCAAGTAGCCATTTAACTCAATGCATTGTGTTACCTGTGGTTTACTCTCCATTTGTAATGATTTGCTCATTATTTGTTGCACCATGTGTGACTGTGAGGAGTGTTATGTTAATTTACCTCTAATCTATGACTAACATGTATAGAAACATTGACTGTAGAGCTAATAAAAAATGGATCTTGGCCATGAAAACACAGAAAATTATCAACAGCCCAAAATGAAACTGCATCCATCTGGTTTTTAGAGAGTATACAGAGTAGCTGCAGCCATTTTACTTAATTTATGCACAAACAATTCAGATTAATCCAAAGGTTTGAAAAACTAAGTATAGGTTAAACTAACTCAACACATTTGAGTTGGAGAAATTATACAAAATAATGAGTTTCAACTCAACTCCAATTAATGAGTCTACATCAATTTTATTAATTGACTATAGAGCATCTAAATGTTAAGGATGTTAATGCTAATACTTGATTAAAGCAATTACAATACTGGCAAATCTGGCTTACCAGTAGAATTTTCATGACTTTCTTTTTGAGCAACAGAAAGAAACAGCTGAACATAAAACTTAAATAACTTTGCGCATGAAACATGTTTGAGTTCATATAACCAAACACTGAATCGCAGTGACTACCATGATTTGCGTTGATGTGATGAACCTTTTCGGTTAAAGAAAAACAACTTTATTAAATGAGAGATTTTGCTGATTATTGAGATTTTAGGTTTATGGACTTCAGAAATCTGAGGCAACTGACAAGGATCTGTGCAGGTTTCTCACTCAAAGAGAGCTGAGAAGGTTTCCTCATTGTTGATGGACTTGCACTTTTTTCTATTTTCTTTCCTTTTTCTAGTGATCGAAGTTTGTAAGAGTCGAGGGAGCAGTGGAATTAAGGAGACTCATTATCTGCAAGACATCAACAAGAACCAACAAGCTGGGAGAGGCGGGAAAAAAAAACAGATCCCCTGTTCTCTGTCGACCCATTCATCACCTGGTCTATAATATAACTTGACAAACTTCTCTCATCCACGGCATGTTTCATTGAGAAAATGTCACTGTACCCTCTGCCTACTTCTATCCAACATTTCTAACAGCACTTATAAACATATTGCAGTCAACTATTGGGAGTGTAATGATTGAATCTGTTCTCTTTAAAGGAATTGCAATAGAAGACTGTGGTGAAAAAAAAATGTTGTTTTGTGCATTGTGCGTAACATATATGAAAAGAGAAGCAGCGTTTTTAGCTCTACTATCTGTTGTATTTGTTGCATATTTCTTGTCCTGCTGATGGTGGTTATTGTGCATCCTCACAAGCAGTAGAAACACAACATTGTGCATCCTCACAAGCAGTAGAAACACAACAAAGGCAGAAGTGACTTGAATCCTTTTGCTGAGCAGGGGCAGTTCTAAACTAAGTTTAGTCGGGGGAAAAAACAATGCATGGTTTAGCGTTTGAAGTGAGCCACAAAGCTGAATTTGCAGACTTCAGATCTGACAGTTGAAAACTGTGATTCTGTTAATAAGGCTGAAACTCAAAGCTGACTGTGATTTGTAGATAATTTAAAGTAAATTTAAAGTGAAATATTAAATTATTCAAAGGAACAGATCAGTTACAGTCGCTTCTGTCAGCATATATCTTTATAAGAAATTAATTTAGTATTACACTCCAAAAATAAATATAGTGTAAATAATAAATAAGTATAAATTGATGGTAAACAAAATGATCTGCTAAGGTAATGAGAAGTTTCCCCTACAAAAATAAAACACTTATCCACTTGAAATAAGATAACGGAGTTGCTTTTCTTGTTCTTACCAATTGGCTGAAATCAAGCAGAAATACCTTCATTAAAAAAAGACTTATATTTTAATTTTATAGTGTATCCTTTTAGCACAGGAGCCAGGACCAGATCTTGATTGGGTGCTGGCCCCTGTTGGCCCCTATCTAGAGCTCCCCATGCTGCTCAGATGTGAAAGCAAGAGAGGCTTTTAGTCATTTAGTTGTTGCTGTACAGAAAAGCTGTTTCATGTGTAAATGTAATCCCTTTAAAGATACAGTATGACATGGTAATGTAAAAAGTATATATATACATATAGAGACAAAGAAAAATCAGTATATTAACAGAGATGGATATTTCATAGTTTGTCAGTATCTTCCTCACTGAGATGTTGATTTGACCAGAGAATTGATTTTGTGTTGTGTTAAAAACAAGTCAAGAATTATCGACTGTGTATACGGTGGAGTTTAATTCTTTGTTGGGAGTATTAGGAAACCCAACGCTGCATGTGTATGGTGTGTGTGTGTATTTGAATGGTTAATTCAAGTTTATGCAAATAGAAACGTGTGTGGGTGTGTATGTATTTAACTGTTTACCCGTAAAAAGACAGCTGGATTTAAAGTATTTTTTCTTTTGCTAATGTTGTGTTCAGTGCTCAAAACAAAAACAAAAAAAACTCAAAAGTTTCTGTTTTGTTCAGACCATTAAGGATGTGTGTATGTGTGTAAATAAATGTTGATGTGCAGATGTATTATTGCAATAAAAAACAAATATGCACAGCAAAACTAAATCTTTGATCTGTTGTCTCTGCCCGGTCTTCTTTGTGGAGGATAGATTGAAAACAAATGTTTTGATGCACAACCTCCAAGAAACAGCTATCTTCTCCAAAATGAAAAAGAAGCTGCAATGATTGTGTTTGACCACATGCAGAAAACTCTCAAGGAGCAATTAAAATTTCTATAAAGATTATTTGCAGAACAGCAAAATAAGTCTGACTTTCCTCCACTAGGTGGCGGTGAGCAACCTGGAAGTGCTTCCAGGAAGGGGACTGGATCTAGGAGGTAAAAACAGAGGAGTCAAGGAATGAATTAAAGAAATGACTTACTGGAGGCTTGACTCATTCTTTCTCTCAGAGGGGAATGCACGGATAGGATTCAGTCAGTAGTGGAAACACAGCTGGAGGACCCAGCCGCCAGTTTGGAACTTCAGCCAGAAAAATGGGTATTTTTTGTAGAGGTTCAGGACTTAGACAACAAGCTGGGTCCCTTTGGAACAGAGAAATTTTATGGTGATAACACATTAAAGCATGCAGAACACAAAGCAAAAACTGTCTGAGGCTCAGAGAATTGAGTTACCACTTAGCATAACAATAAGATGGCAGGGTACTGGAAGCATGCTCCTTAGGCCCCGTCCGCACGAAGTCAAAACGAACACGAAACGCTGATATTTTCCAAAACGTTTGTCGTAAAGACAGAGACGTAAAATAAATGTGATCGTCCACACGAATGCATGAAAACGCTGCAAAATGTATGCCAGGCCTGTAAGTGGCGCTGTGGTGCCAAAGCAAAAATAAGCGACGAAATGTTGGGCATGCGCACTAATATTTATACATGGTTGCCCTGCGGGTCCATTTTCGTGGTTAAGTCAAACAGGTGCTGAACTATGTCGTCGATATTGCTCTGTTCTTCCTGGAGATATTCCAGAAGAAGAAGATTCTGTTGTAAGCCCGACAGCAGGGTGAGTAGCATTAGCAGCAACCATTCAACACAGTACGGCGCCATTGTTGTTGTGATACTGTGTCGCGTGTTTAGAGGCGACGCTATGACGCATGCGTGTAAAAAAAAAATGCGGTTAGAGCTTAAAGATGGAAACGCGAAAACGGCGTTTCAAAATCTTCCCACTCTGAAGGCTGAATAAAAAAAAGATCGTTTACAGACCCCCGAAACGCCAGCTTCGTGTGGATGAGAGGCTGGTTTGGTGAAAAATTTGTGCGTTTAGGCCATGGTTCGGCTTCGTGTGGACGGGGCCTTAAATGCTCCTTCTGATGACTCTCAACCAGCTGCAGGTGTGCCTCGTAGAGGTCGACTCAGCCACCGTGTCCTAGCCCTCCAGGTCAACGAGGTACTGCCAGTTTCAACCCCACCAACATTAGCCCACAATCCCTAAAACTGGATAAACTGGGTGCCCCTCAAAATCCCAGGTGGGAGGAGGGGGCTCAGCAAGAGGCCAAAAACAGCTTTGCAGTAAGTGTCTTGTCTAAAATGTCCACAGCAACCAAGAGCACTCCTCTGGAGCATACCCCGCCAAACCCCCAGGTACCCAAAAGAGAGTTCCCTGGACCAGGAGCACAACAGGCAGCAAACAGTGTACACATCTATGATATAGGCAGGAGGAGGGGCTCTGAAGGGGAAAGCAGTGTGGAAGAAAAACAAAGGCTTTACCCTAGAAACATGGAACGATGGATGGATCCTCAAAGTTTGTGGCAAGCCCAGCCTAACTCCCACTGGATTAATGATTTTAAGAATGGGGAAAGGTCCAACGAAACGTGGTGCAAGCATTTTATGTCCAACCCAAAGACTTAGGTCCTTAGCTGACAAGCACACGTTCTGCCCCACACTGTAGAGAGGAACTGCTGACCTGTGTTGTTTGGCTGCTCTGGAATGGATGCTATCAGACCTAAAGAGAGCCTTAGTTGTTAGCATTTTTTACTATTTTTCAAGGCTGCACTTTTAAGAAAGATCAAATTGTCCAGAGAGCTGTTCCAAACGAAATTTCTTTTTGTTTTACACTGTAAACAAATGACAAATAAATCTGTCTAAGTCAAAGGTGTCTCTTACCATATTTTGACAACCTGCCTGGCAGCAGCATAAACAGAAGGAACCCTGTCTTCTAGTTCTTGAATGGAGAAGACCGATGGGTCATAACCAAAAACAATTTGGATAGGAGAAATGCCTGTAGAGCAGGTGTGAAGAAGGCAAGTTACTGGATTGGGATGAACGGTCACCAGAACAAAGGATTCGTTGTTTAGTATCAACCTACTGGTTGATACGTTACATTTTGCCATCAGATTGTCGGTGGAAACAAGAGGAAAATCTCAAATGGAACCCCAAATGGAGACAAAACTTACTCCAAACTGACTATGTCCAAGAGGAGCCATTGAAATAGAAAAATGTATCCTGCCAGAATAGACTCAATTTCCTTAGATGAAGGAAATCCTTTTAGAGCAGCGGTCCCCAACCTTTTTTGCGCCACGGACCGGTTATATGTCAGACAATAGTTTCACGGACCGGCCTTTAAAGTGTGGGGGGTAAATACAATCAAATAAAATGATACGACTGGCATAAAATCAAATACAAACAGCATAAAAATAAAACTCACAATTATGTTGAATTAGTGGGAGCCCTGAGGTTGTTTCTCCGAAATAAACCGGTCCCATCTAGGCGTTATCGGAGACAATGACGCACGAATTGTGGTCCTGATGTCCAGTCTTCTCCGTAGCTTTGTTGTGGTCGCTGTAACTGCAGAAAATCCCATTTCACAAAGATAGGATGTTATAGTCTTGACCTGAATTAACCTGTGTCAAGACGCACAGATGCACTGACTGATGTAATTGGGAGATAAAACCCCAATGTCTTATATTTTTCAAAATAAAACATCACTCAGACTCTGATCGTCGATAAATTATATATATATATATTTATTTTCTGTGCGGCCTGGTACCATATGACCGACGGACTGGTACCGGTCCGCGGCCCCGTGGTTGGGGCCACTGTTTTAGAGGAACCAGGTGGGTCGTTTTAGAGAACTGGTCAATGACTGTCAAAATTACAGTATAGAAAGAGGGAGTCCAGTAAAGAAGTCAATTGATATAGGAGACCTGGAGCGCTGAGGAAAGGACAATGGTAAGAGAAAACCAGCAGGTGGTTTACCTTAGACTGTGAGCAGACCCCAACATGCTGCAACATTTTTTTTTTTGACAGCTTTTCTGAAGTTAGGCCACCAAAACCGTCTCTGGATTATTATTAAAATCCTAAGAGACACCAGGATGACAAAATAGCTTGTTGGAAATATGACAAACTTAAGGAATAGGAGCCGAGGTAAAAAGGTCTTTTAACTTGTGAAAGGCTTGGTCTGCATTGTAATTCCAAGATTAGATTGAGTTACAGGAAATCAAACTCCAAAGAGGAGCGGCAACATCACTAAAGTTTGTGATAAGGCACCTATAAAAAAGTCCTGTTTGTTAAAGATTTTGCACAATAACAAACCGAAGAAAGGACACTTTAGACATATAAAAGTTGCATTTAAATGCCTTGAAAAACAGCTGATTCTTCAACAGCAGGGGAAACTTAGGGAAAAGCCGCAGCAACAGTCCCTGAACCCCAGCAGAAGAACTTGAAATGCCAGATCTCAACTAGAAAATAATCCTGCTGGATATCCATACTAACATGAAATGAGTTATATGAAAACAAATAAAAGGATGGTACATAAATTGATTTAAAAAAAAGCATTTTTAACTAGTTGCTAACTCCAAAGTCATTAAGAAATCATAAAATTGCTGAAATGTCATTACAACAACTCAAAATGAGGCTCTGTTGTATTTCAATTTAAATTGAATTCAGAAAAAAAGCTTTCCTGATCTTACAGAAATTG